ACGCTACAAGAATAAACATTTATAAGGACGAAACCAATACAAACGACAAAAGTTGTCCCTATAGATGACCTATAGGGACAACATGTTGTCTCTATAGAGTTCACAAATAATGTTTGACTTTTGAAGCTATAACAACGATACATCACCTCTATAGGTAAGGAGGGAACGAAAAATGTTTGGCGCATTTACGGAAAATTTATAAGGACGACATATTGTACTAGAAATAAATAAAATTATATATATATATATATATATATATATATATATATATATATATATATATTAGTCTAGTTAATTGGAAAATAGGAAGCGACGTCGCTTTATTTGAGGATATAGGGACGACAAGTTGTCCCCATAGGTATTATAAGCCATTTCCCCTTTGTTCTGGTCTCTCTCTCGCTCTTTCTAGAGGGTGATTCATTTCTCCCCACCATCACATCGACGACTAGGTAACCACCTCCCCTCTTCTTCTTCTTCTTCTACTACTACTACTACTACTTCTACATCTAAACCACTACCATCACTCTCACCTCCACACCTGTCCCCCCCCCCCCCCCCCTTAACCACCCTCAAACTTTCCTCAAATCACATATACATCAAACCAGGGCTTCCGATTCCAATTGATTCCTTTTGGATTTTTATTATTGGCTTTCACGACTTCTCGTGGCCGGAAAATGCAATCACAACTCTGCTTCACCTTACTCTCTCTTTTAATTTCATGTGTGTTTGTGTTTTTTCTTTCCAGCTACCTCAGAGAAAGAACAACTTTAGCGTCGGTCCCTACTCCTTCTCTTTCGACGACCTACTGCTTCCAGCGGTCATTCCACTAAGATTGCAACTTCTCTCCAACAACTCTAATCTTCTTCAACATGTATATCTCCTAATTTTATGATGTAAAATAGTGTAGTGTCTCCCAAACTATACCCATTATAGTTTGAATGTATGTTCTTGTAATGCTTATTGTACTTAGCAAAGTACAATAAACATTTAGAATCTACACACATAAAATTTATTTTCTTCCTTTCCAGGTTGGCAATAGACATTTAAAATTCATTATAATAATAGCAATATAGGTAAGCAACATAAGGCATGCTGTATTTCATAACATATAGCACATATTATCACATAAGGTATCTATCATAAAGTATGCTAGCGCACATCATAGTAAGGTATTTAACCTAAGGCATGATAGTTATTAAGGAATATATCATAAAGTAATCTAATGCTTGTGTCTATTTAGGTATTCAACCTTAAATATATTAGACACACATCTCACCATCATCACTTAATCTCTAAGTTTAAGTCTAGAAATCTTCATAATTCCTTAGACCGATTAAACTAATGCTCTAATACCAACTATGACATCCTCATTTTCACGGCCAATTAAAAACTTTTCTTTATGCTTATTTAATTCACAATATTCTTTCGTTTGTGTAGAATTTGTCTCAAAATGTTATTTTAGTCAAAGCATTTCCGAATAAACGATTTTTATTAATATATAAAAAATTGGGATGTCATACTGATACAAAACATAAGCATAAGCTTTTCTTAACAGGCATTACAACATCCTATTATATTAATGACCCACATCTCCTCGGATCTTTTATCAAATCCAAACATCACTATCCATTTACCTTTTGTACCACTACCTATGATACAAAGAAACTCAGTAAGTCTGTGAGGCCTCACATAAGATTTTCAACCAACAATAATATAATTAATTTGTTTAATTACACATTTCACATATTAAGATTTTCAACCAATTATAACATAATTAATTTGTTTAATTACACATTTCACATCAAAAAATTAACTCGGTTACCTATCCTCTTTTTCTTATATATTCATCTCTAAGGAATGATCCTAAGGATCATTGCAATTATTAGGTTAACAATGTTTTAAAAACCAAACCAGAACGACCAGTTGAACCGGACAGGCCAGTTGAACCAGTCAGGTCTTAACATCCAAAAACCGCTTGAAAACCAAACTGCTAAAAACCACTGGTTTTGTTAAAAATCGGATTAAACCGGACTGGTTGAACCAGAAATGAAACAGGTTTACTGATCAAAATTTTGGTTTTCTAATATATAGCCCAAGGCAGTAAGCCGACTTATAAGAGCCAGCCGATTTGAACGGGATTTTTGATTATTCTTACAAAGACTGGTACGGCTCCTTTTATGGACTCAATACTCCTTTTAGCTTTTTCTTCTGTGCCGATGTGGGATGCCTCAAAATGCTTCCATATTCCTCCGATATGCTTCCAATTCCTTTACGCTTTTACACAACATATCTTTTAATATATTACATATACTAGTCGTTTACCCGCGCCAAGCGCCGGGTGTGAATATTTTAGTCAGAAATTAGTTTTCTAGTGACGATTAGTTTTTTTGTACAAATAGTTTGGGTGTTTTATGTTGTTGACAATATAAAAATCTTCAAAATATGTTAAGCCACTAATATGCGATAAAACCAAGCGAATGTATTATTACTCATCTTTTAACAGGATTAGAATAAACCAAACGACCTCACATTAATTAGTTTCTATTGAAAATAAATGTACATTGTTTTATGTTTAGTATAAATGTACTATTTTTTATAAATATGATCAAATCTTTATTTTTACAGTATAATTATGATTTGTGTTATTTTGTCACAACAGAAGGGTAATTGATAAATCTACGCCAAAAAGGAGTCCCTTAATCGATCTAAGCGGTTGTGTGAGGTCAAGCAACACTTTATATACTAATAAAATTAATAAATATGATAGTTTTTTATTTTTATTTACTTATTTTGTTAGAATGTAAATAATAAGGTGGTAAACAGAATGTGTTCAAGTATTCCACAATATATAAGTAATTTATATCGTCTATGTCTTCATCAAAACTATAGTAAGTTCTCTCTTCTTCATGGAATTAACTCATCAAATAATTACTAATGTCATCGACACTGTCATTTCTTGTGGATAATATTGCACGTTAAATAATAAAATCTAATTCAGGTATATTAATTTTCAATTATGGAAATATTGTATCAATCAAAACATTCAATGACTTTCCTATTTTAGGAAAGGGAATTACCATATCATAGAGATGTGAATAAAGTTTCCGTGCATCGTTTATTCAATTCCATTACCGACACGTAATAGATAGTCTAAGAATCATGGATTGGTTAGTGCGCTCATATTTATGGTTCACCGCAACTTGATAATCGAAGACCAAAAAGGCGACATTTCTATGCTAGAATCCACAGTCTGTGCTCATGTTCCACGTCTCACGACCAACAACAAAAATATAATGTTTAACGAAAATGCAATAGATTTGAAATTTCATAGTTCAACCAAAATACAATAGATATTTTATTAACTAAAAATGAAGATTAAAAAATATTGAAATTACACATTTTTCTTACTTAGCTTGTTGAAAATCACAGTTTGTAGAAATAAATTGATTGTCTAAAAGTCACTGTGGGTTCATTTTGCAAAGTTGTTAATTATATTTAACTGCTTTCTTTTTTATTTTAAAAATCGTATATTTTTTAAGCTTGGACTAATATGATAAACAATAATAGCTTTAGCACCACATTTATAAATTACTTGTTACTAAAAACAAAAATTATTAATTAGATTACTTTGATACACAATTTTTTATCATGATGGTCAATATTACATAGTTATTTAAAAAAAAAAAAAAAAAAAAAAAAAAAAAAAAAAAAAAAAAAAAAAAAAAACTTCAAATTGCGTTTAGATAAAATTGATTGTTGTATTCGCCTTCATTTTCAAGAAACCATCGTTTTTTCTTTCTTGGAAGTGATGATGTTATGTTTTGACTATTTTGTTAAAGTAATAGTATCTTTATACTTGGTGTTTAATTAATTTAGTAAAAAATAGAAATATGACTAATTTTAAATATGAATAGCCCAAATCCCATTTTCAACGAAGCTAAATTCACGCCTTTGACCACTTTAAGGATCATTTAATTAGGTCCAATCCCATCGTATCCGAGGAGTAAATGTAAATGTTACAATTCTATTTGCATCTATCTTTAAAAAAATGATTAAATTGGATTATAAACACTCGTTATTTAAAATTACAATTCGCTTATAATGTTTTTCTAATAGTAATGGTTCCATGTTTTTTCAAATTGCTTAATTGCTTAAATATCATGAATCTGTATATGCAAAAAGAGAGTTATATATATTAAGAATTTAGACCGTACATGCATTATCATTGATATGAATTCTTACAATTTCAAGGCTTCAAAAATTTTGAAAAAAAAGTATAGAATAAAGACTGGTTAATGTTAGAAAATGGTGAAAGTCAATCGTAATGATGGTTAAAATAACAAATTTAACCTTAAGAACTCAAACTTTCACCTCAATCTTAGAGATTGGTTTATCAAGCTTGTAAACAATTTAATAATATTTACTTGTTTTTCTTATTTATCACACTATCGTACTTCCAATTCTCTTTCTTATTAGGGCTTTGTATTAAACTGTCATACTTCCAATTAAAGCAACACACTTTCATTCTTTACTGTATTATAGCATCCTACTTCTTTTCTTTCTATTACAACACTATATTTATTAAGTATAAAATTTGAACATGAAAAAAATAAAAGTAGGATGATATAATAAAAATAATAATTAAAGTAAGTTGTTTTTCCTTGAATTAACCCAAAGGTATTTTGGTCAAACACATACTCACACACAACACACACATGAAAGTTGTAATTGTAATTCCACCAATTAACTATAAACACCGATTTATATCACAAAAAAGAATGCACAAAAGTTGTAATTATAATTTTAGCCAAGTTTATACGCATACTTTATAGTTTCCAGCAATGGCTATAACATCATATAAATCTAATCCAACAGCAAAAAAAAATACCATAATGACATCACGTTGTCGTTCTTTTGGACAACTCGACATGTGCTCCTGGTAAAAAAATGAAATAGACAAAACACATATCAAAAGGATAGAAATATACGAGCTTGAAACACCTTATTTCCACTCTGGCTTAGGATCATTGTAAGCCACTGAAGTTCAAATGACACAGGGAACTGCCACATTCATAAAAGCATTAAAATATGAACAAAAATAAGAGCTTGAATACTTCTTGATTAATATACAGTGATAGAGGCCTCACCTATCAAAATGTCCATATAAAACCCCTTCTACACTTGCAAGGTCGTTTCAGGAATTCATGACTTTTTTCTTCTTTCTCATGGATTCTACTCTAACTGCAACCAAAATGCATAATGCCTTTTTCTTACATATTATCAAAATAGACCATAATGCCCTTTTCATATCCCGACACACCATCTCTTCTAATATATTGCAATCCAATGGTAAAATCCCAATATTGTACCTAAAAATAATAAGATGAAATTACCCTTTCTCCTTATTGAACTTTTGACAGCATATCCTTCCTGTTAAAGCCCCAACAACACTTTACAACTGTTCAACCTCCCATAAAGGAACTGAAAGTAGGGTAAATAGACAAAAATGAAAAAGGTTATAATTTAATAAAATGACCAAGGTATGATGTTGTGATAGAGAAAACTGAAAACCGTTTCATTTTAGTCATATATACATATATTTAAGGATGATATTAGCAAGAAATAGTCTTTTATAAACAATTTAATCCACTAACTATTACTTATTACCTTTCCATGATCAACATGACCCATGATGGTTTGAACATGGGTACTTCAATGGTTCTCATTTCAATACCTGTAAACATATACACACATATAGTTAAGTTAGGGTAACTGGTTGAGGTTTTTTTCTTTTGCAAAATATAAAAGAGTATCAAAATAGGAAAAATACATGTAGATTTTTTCAATACAGGTAGATTTTTTCTTTTGTGCAAATACGAGAAGTGTGAAAAATATAAAGCAAAACACCAAGAGCATGTTATGATGTTCAATACATGTAGATTTTTTCTTTTGTGCAAATAACTTAAAATATTAGCATAAGGTGGTGAAATATGGCTCATGGATCCGGAAAAGCGAAGTGTGGTTTCTTTTGGTATGCAGAGTCAAACAACTCAAAGAACCAAAGAATTAAAACGAAGAGTTATACCATTTTTTGGTAGTAATAAAGGATGGGAAATTTCCATTAAGAGTGACTTCTTCTTCCTTTTTGGTTTTCTCCTCTTTATTAGCTCCCCTTTGCATGAACTATCATACAGATAAATAAGAACAACACCTTAAATTTCACAGAGAAAATCAAAAAAAGAAAGTATTTTTAAAAATTTGAAAAACGAACAACGTAATTGAGTCTTAACTCAAAATCTGGGGATTGAGAACAAGGTTATGCATAGTAAAGGCTGAAAAGTATCTGAAAAAATCAAGAATCGGCTTATAGTTACCTTCAAGTTCTTCAATGTGCTTGACAATTCGAGCTTAACCATCGCTGATAATTTGAAATTAGGGTTTCGGCAGAGCCCTCTCAATTTGGCTCCCCGAAATGGATGGGATTAACAGAAAGGCATGAGTAGAAACGCCTGTCAAATTGAAACGCCTGTCGAATTGATTAGGAAGGAGATGGAAAGAAGACGGTTTCCATTTCCTTCTGATGGCGATCGAGAGATAAAAAGAGAGGCGAGAAAGAGAGAGAGCGAGAGAGAGAGAGAGAGGGGGAGGGAGAAGTAAACCCATTGGCACTGAGACATTCAAACGTACCATAAGCAGTAACGGATTTATGAACGAAGGGCAAAGCACGAGGCACGGGATCATCTTTGAAATCGATGGGTTTAGATTTGGCTTGTTGTGTCATCTCTTTCAGGTCTCCGAAGAGGAATCTATAAGAGTTTCCTCTCAAGCCCTGAGCTCTTAAGGATTTTTCTATCTTCTTTGGTTTGAACCACAACGAATCCAGGACATTCCCGCAACGTAAAGCTCTTTACTTAACTTCATTTTTGGATGATGGGACGTCTTCGGTGGGGGAGGTCGGCAGCCGTGGATCTTCGGTGGGAGACGTTGGATACTGAGATATTGATTTCGCCATTGCTGTAGTAGAATCTTGAAAACAGTTCAAACCCATCTGACCCACGAGGGAAAATGATTGATCTCGATTCCAATTTTTCTTGGTTGATCTAAGTTTTCTAGGGTTAGGGCTACTGTGTGTGACGGAAAAGGTGGACTGCATCTTTGGTGGAGACTGATGAGAATTGGTTTGATGGCGGCTATTGTTTGTTTAGGAGATTAGGGTAAGGTAATACCGTGTAGTGTGATACGTATATGATTGATTATATGCTTAATATTATTGTACACCAGGCAATACATATTGTACCTCTTAATTTTCAAGAAAGAGGCAATATGTTTAATAATATAGTAAAGATATTTAAATCACACACACATTATATATTACATATATATTTAAATCACACACATCACGTATATTTAATATACATATATAAATCACTCACATAATTTTTATACAACTGCACATTTTATATATGAACCACATATATTTAAATCACATATACATTACATATATATATATATATATATATATATATATATATATATATATATATATATATATATATATATATATATATATATATCCAGTTTATCCGGTTTTTAGGACCGGTCCAACCGGTCGGACCAGCTAAACCATCGACCCATTAAGATGACCGGTTCGATGTCTGGTCCGGTTTTCAAAACATTGCAATACTGCTTTGGGGATTTCGTAGCAATAAGGAAACCATAGGAGAAAAGAGTACATCGCATGTACACGTAGTTCATCACCTACAAGTTGCGAACTTGTTAGTGTTCTACTGGACTGTCTAGAATAGTTTGTGGCGTCATATATACTTTGTTAGAGGACTACATCGCATATCACATAGTAAAGTCATGGCCTCTTCTCGTCATTTTTCATCTCTCATCACCCATCGCTACCCAATATTATAAGTATGAAAATACATATTCAACTAAATAAAAATCATCTCACATTGTTTCATCTAACACATGACATCTTAATCACAGATAATAAGAACATATAGCATTTAACTATATCAATACTTTATATATATATATATATATATATATATATATATATGTGAAAGATGAAATTAACCATTCACTCACTTTTTAAAAGTAGATCACTTGTGATTTGGGTAGAGCTTCTCCTAACACCTTAGCTTTTCCTTTGATATGACCTAGGTATACACATCACTAAATCTTAGTTTTATATGTCTAGCGACTAATGATAGTCTAGATTCCTCACTAATCACAATGTCTACATCAACATACATCAAGTAAGGAATAACCAAATAAGATCATACCGGAGGTAGGGTCCGTTTGGTACACAAAGTATATTGTTTGGAAATCCCACATAAACACCTCACTAGATCTAGCCTAGACATCACTCCCGTAAGTAGATCAAGCAGTATTATGACTTGGAATAATTGATAAATCTTATTTATAAATTCATAATAACGACTATGGATATAAATATAAGTTACACTTAAAGTGTAGTATGTGCAGCTTAACTTACATAAATTTTAGCAAAAACCAAAAAATTATGTAAGCATAACTCTAACCCGAGAGCTTCTATTTGTCGGAATCTCATATGCCCAAGGCTTTGCTAAGCTAAGATACTTCGAAACCTAAAAGAAAAGACCTCTAAATCGCCCTAAGGATTTGAGAGAGAATTCAGAGAAAGTGTGAAGAGGAATGGGGGGATGAGCTGTTATTTATAGTTGATTTTTGACCAAGCATGTCATTTTTTACATAACTTTCTCATACGAGCTCCATTTTTATGCTCTTTATATCCACATGTATCTATAGACGAATACTACAGCTTTCATTTAGACTCTATCGGCGAATTATCAATTTATTTTTAAAGTTATATTTTTAGAGGGCTTAGACTGCTAGAACCCAAATAAAAATCATAACTCTTTCATACAAATTTTGTTCTCGATTGTATTTATACCAACGGATTTGTATACTGATCTTCAACTTTCATTTAGGGTGTTTATGATGGGTTTTGGTCATAAGACATCCTATGTGCTCATACAAACCCTAAAGCTTGGATCTAGGTTTCTCAATTGTACATGCTTTGAGTCCAAGACTATAAACCCTAATTTATAATTAGGTTTAAGATGTTACCTTGAGTGTTATGTTGCAATAACAATCCCAATTCCTCCTTAAATTGACTTTGGAATGCTTAGAGTCACAAGTGTCACTCCTCTAATGGCTTACAAACACCAAGAGCAAATGGAGAAGGTATAAAGAGAGAGGAGAGAGGTTAGAATTCGTCCTTAGGACTCCTTGGGAAGGGATACACGAATTCATGAGCCTTAGGGTCTTTATATAGGTGTAGAGATAGGGTTTCAGTCATTATCCTTATCTAGTTGTTTATCCACCAAGCAACCCATAAGATAATCCTTGAATCCTTATCATAGTCGAATTCTAAGGCCTTATCACCTTAAATTCGTTCACCCTATATTTAAGATAATCCTTACCTTATTTTGTAACTATCACATAATTACAAAGCAGCCCCTCTAGTTTAATTAATTACACTTGATCACAAAATTAATTCCTAATTAATTATTGACCAATATTAATTAAACAAATATGATTTCTCTTATAATATATTATTCTTATAACATATGAATAAAACATAACAACCTCTCTCTCTATTTATTTCTCCAATCAAGTTGCTTTGGTGAAGGCAACCCAAAAGGACCATGCACCATCGGGTCAAGTACATACCAAAATAGTTATGGACTTAGACACTAATCCAACAGTCTCCTACTTGGATAAGTCTAATAACTATTATGCGTATGACTTCAGATCCTGATCTGCAATCGTAGCTTTCCAAAGCCGCTGTCAACTCTGATAATATCAAATACGCGTGTCCTTAAGATAAGGGATCATATATTCCTCCATTCTAGATATCATATGAGATATGATTTCAAACCATTCTCTTTGTACTATATCTCGATTTCCGATTTATGACGATTGACTAATTGAACAAATCAAATTAGCCCTAGCCCGGCCGAGCATTTACGTTTGTCATCACTAAATCATCGAGGGGCCCAAAGATATCGCTTTTATCCTACTTTGGATAAAAGGAATGGATAAACTTTGATACAATGCTTGCTTGCACTTACTAACCAAATCACACACAACAATATGTTTTATAACACCAAGTTACTAGTGCGTTTACATATTATCAATGTGCAACTGATTCGCAAGATACAACTCACACATCTCGGTTTCAAGAATATAAGATGTTATCGTCTCACCAATCACTCGTAATACAATTCATGGAGTGATGCAAGCGAGCGTGGGTTTAATCCAATGCTCAAATTCATATTCATAAGCACTCATGAACGTTGCAGCAAACATTTGCTTATGTCTAATACTCTTTTAGACAATCCACACACCAATTTACGACAGTCTTCATTCATATCTACTTCCAACATATGAACGACTGTGGTCCGTTTGAATAATTCGATTATTCTTAATAAACTCAATTATTCTGGAAGTCAAAACATGCAAAGTGAAACACAAGAATAATACTAATCCCATATGGCCTCAACCCTTTGAGTATAAATAAAACTCCTTTTATTTATCACCATATCGATTACTCATTATTTGTCGTTTCGGGTAATCAACTTCTTACTTGAACTCCAACACTTGTCCCATGCTCCTAGCATGCACACAATGTTTACCTATGGTTCTTACTTTGTGAAATAGACCAAATTGAATACATTTCCAATCATTCTCATTTCACAACTCCAAATCCTTTTTCATAAGTGTGAGAATATCAAATTCTCGCTACTTATAGAATATGCTAGATTCTAACACTTTATGCAACGATCCTTTCGTAATGTTACTGCACCAAAGTCACAAAGACTATTGCCAATGATATTACAAAGTCCTCTATCGGAGATTGTTACAAGACAATTCCTTAGATATGATGTCTCTCTCTCAAGGTACATTCCTTTGAACGTCCTTTTGCATAAAAGTTTCTAATCTAGACATAGATTTTTCAATATTCAATTTCCAATATGGACACGCTTCCATATTTTCCATATGACAACTTATTCTTAATAAAATCTTATCTATTCATAATAATGTCGATATGGTCCATTCAATACCATGCTTCCAACTACTCACAAGCAACCAATCCTCGTCGAACTTTGGATTGTCCTTTGATGGTTGTTTAATTATTTTAGTCAAAACCGATTCTAGTCCCTTTTCCCACTAAATGCGCTAGACATTTGGAAAATTTAAGAATGGTCAAACATTAAAGCATTTGCAATCGATCCTATACCCGAAGCGTATGAGACACGACACATAATGTTTTATTTGCTATGTTCTCAAAATTCGAATTGTGAAAAGGAATTCCGTAATCATAATCGAAATTTTAAGAACACACTATGTACCTTTGACTAAATTTATTAACATTTCTCAACCTAAGCCTTTAGATTTGAAATGAAGTAATATTCTCTCGCTTAATTATAGCAAAACAACTTTACAACCTTAAGACTTTGCAAGGTATAACTGTTGTTTTTCTATAATTAATATTGCCAACTTGCAAAACTTTCCATAATAATCATACAATCATAACTTTTATGCTCCCACTATCATGGTGATTACTATAAAACATAACACTTATGCTCCCACTAGCTTCGACATGTATTCATAAACATCTTAACATTCAGAAAAACAATACTTATTGAATTTCTTAAGTTCATGTTTCTAATACTTAATGCTTTGATAATCTTTTATCAAGGCTTCTTGAACTTATACACCTTTCCTTTAGATAGTTCATATGCGTGTATCAACAATTAAGACTAATTGCCAAATCTCACAATTCAAATTATGGAAAGGAATACCGTAACCATGATCGAATTCGAGAATGTACAATCACTATCTTTTTAAAATCTTTCTTAGTGAAAGCATTTCCTCACAATCATTTTCATGAAGGAGGAAACCTTATGACACTTAGATTTAAATGGTGTATTTTGTTCCTATCCATGTGAATTTGTTAAAACCAAGGTTTACAACAAATTCAAACTCATATGGACCAAACTTTCTTAATCTTGATTTCTTGCCTTATGGTAGTACAGCTGCCCACCACGTCTTCCAAGTAGTTAAGCAGCTCACCTTTTCCTATCAATGTACCTT